TCCAGATGGGTGACATGTGAAAGGAAAAACCTGAATGAATGAGTGGAGAAACATGACAAATGCAGATGCTTTCATACAGGACACGGGGGGTCACTGGACGGCTTGATGAGAATGAAAATGATGCGAATCAGTGATGCCGATGGGAGAATAGAGGGTTGTGTCTGTTTTTCCTTTAAACTCCATCACCCATCTGTATGTTTTACATTGTTACTTTAACTCAAGTAGAAACAGGAGCACACGCTGGTTTCAAGATATGACTCAATACTTACACTGTTTAACAAAACACGTCCATGTGAGCTACAAACCGTCACATACACTGTAAAAAAACAAAACAAACTCCATCTTATCAAGTCAGTTCTGTTTGTAACTAAACCTGAAAACTTCCTTGAATGTGAAAATTTCTAAAATGTGTGAGGGCAGTGAGAATATTTTAACCTGTTTCCAGTTGAAAAAGAAAAAGAAAGGAGTGCATATTGTAAACAAAAAAGAAAGGAAGTTCACTGGCAGCAAATGACACTTGCTTTTCATTGTGCTGCCAGATTTTGGCACTTTTTTCAATTATACAGGACTTTACAGAATCAGATACAGACACAACGACTTGATAAGAAGGAACATATAAACTGGAGTTAAACTATATTCTGTTCTCCTTCAGAGTTTGTCATCATCATGATGAAAAGCAGTCACACACACTCTCACACACACCCATCGAGGTTTGGAAGTGATCAGTGTTGTGCAGGAGCTTTTCTTTTGAGCGAGCCAAATCTCCTTGAGACATTGAACTGGAAGCAAGTGTGGTAAACAACGGAGGCTTTGTCCTGCTCTGAGGGGGTGTTGTTTATTTCATAACCCAACCAACCAGTTTCCCCCACCCCGTCTCCCATCCTCCTCCTCCTCTGATCCCTTTTAGTCATACTGAAACTCTGATTGCAGATTCATTTTGCACACTAAAAACATGAAAGAAGGGACAGTTCCCCCCAATATAAAAAATGCATATTTTTCTTACCTGTAGTGCTATCTATTCATCTACATTGCAGAATTTTGGAGATATTGGGCATAGAGATGTCTTCCTTCTCTCCAATATAACGGAACCATATGTGCTCAAAGCGCCAAAAAAACATCCAGTTCCTCAAGATAACCCACAGACTTTGTTGTAAGCAGTTTATGTAGAAACTCGGAACTACACCCGCCAACCGTAGCTGAACGTTAGCTATCTCAGTGGTGCTACGTGAGAAATAAAAAAGTTCCTACATGAAACTGCTCGCAACATGGTCTGTGGATTATCTTGAGGACCTGGGTCATGATTTCTGGAAAGAGACATCATTGTTGAGGTTTTCAAATGTATTTATTTTAGTGGACCATCTGGTTCCATTATATTGGAGAGAAGGGAGACATGGTCGTTATCTCCTAAACTTTGCAACTCACACCAGAACAATCTAGATGGATAAATAGCACTACAGGCGAGGGGAAATATATGTATTTTTGACTTGGGGGTGAACTGTCCCTTTAATAAAAAAAAAAAATCAAGGCAACTGATGCCCTTTACAAATTCAAGTAATCGATAAAACAGAAACTAATCTGTTTAAACACCATTAAAGGGACTCTTCAGTTCACTGACCCTTTGAAGACTACAAATCTATAAGAGACAGACAGATTTACAAACTGGAGGTGTAGAATTTGAAAGATGTGGTGTGGCTGGGTGGGTTTACTAATGAAAATACGCTATTGGTTAGATTATGGGAAATGTAGGATCCAGCACTTTTGATCTTGACCCATACTAGGGACTAAAATTCAGGAAATTTCATCCTCTACTATTTTGATTTTGACCAACCATTTTTTAATTTGTCTCTTATGAGTGCTGAATTAATGGAAGTGCAATACCAAAAGTATACCGTTGCATTTTGGTTGGAGTGCCATTGTTTGGTGGGAAACTTAAACAGATGAAGAGAGCAATGCATCAATGCAGCTTGTCAGAGAGCAGATTAGTCTCTCTACTGCCCTCTTCAGTCTGATGGTCTTAAGAAAAACCACAAGTATGACTATGAATTAATCCATGTGACAAGCCTAAAATGGCTTTTTGCTCAGTAACACACCACAGAAATGAGTAAATCCAGTCTACATTAGGCCTGCAGTGATAAGAATACCCTGAGCTGAGCTGCTTCAGTGTGAGAAGGCGAGTGGCTGCGAGGCCAGGACTGCTGTGGGTATTCTGGCCTGAGGAGAGGTTAAACCAGAGCACCCGAGGACTGAGCATGATTTATTCATATCAGTGCAACAGAAGGCCAAGTCTTTTTAAATGACAAGAGCATCATTCATGATATTTGCAGTGCCACCATGTTGGCTGCTGAGTAAACTCCTGGCAAGTCCCGGTCATCTTTACAGGAGGGCTCGCAGATACTTCCAAGAAAATCTCTGTAGCTTCTTGTCTTTTCAGGATTCTGGATCATTCGAGGTATAACATATCACAGAGTTACAGCTCAGAGATCAATTTTTATTATGAGATGTTTCCTAAAAATTTTATTGGCTCAGAATGGTTGTGTTTACATGGATAAATGAAACCAGATTATTGAGAAATCCAGTACAGGCAGAAAACTGATTAGCAACTGGATTTCTCTCCTATTTTTTGGGGCTTTTATGATAGTGACAGCTGAAACAGACGGAAAGGGGGAGAGGGAGAGTGGGTTGGCATACAGGGAAAGGGCCACAGTTTGGATTTGAAACCTATGAACCCTGGGCCGCTGCAGCAAGGGACTCAGCCTCAGTACATGGGTCGCCAGCTCTACCCACTGAGCTAACCAGGCGCCCAATTGGATTTCTCTCCTACTAAAATGCTGCCAGAGTAGCTGCGTTTCTATCCAAATGTGTCAAAAAAATGTCAGCTAATTTTTAGTAGTTCGGCAAAAGACAATGCAAAGGACTGCCTGTTCCCCAATTATTAGGAGTTGGTTCATGAGACAAGAGTTAGGTGGTGCCAATTCTCCAGTTCCAAAACCAGAAGAAGACGATGCAACAAGATGACATAACTAAAAGAGCGCCAGTCGAACTTCAAACAGTGAAAAACATTGCATTTGCATCTCCTTCTAAGTGCATGAACTCTTGTTCCCAAAAGACAAAAACCACCTCAACCGAGTGTAAAAACTTTTATGCAATTTTTGTTCAAAATTTTGCCGCTTCCACCAACCTTCTCTGATGTGATACTTCAAAACGTACATCAAAATACATCCACGGCTAGTGGTACTTGCTGTCATGCAAATACACACACTTAAGCTTAGCCTTAGAAACATTTAACCTCGAATGATGTCATCAATGTTAGGGTTAAGCTTTGTTCGTATGTCTGTTTACATCATATTGTTTATGTCATACAAAGCCCTCTAGTGGCAGTGCAAATTATGACTGCTGTCTGTCAGAAGCAAAGGCAGAGATAGCGTAATGTTATATCACCACAAGGCATGTTAGGGAGGAAGTGTTTTTTGTGCTGAAACTAAACCATAGCAATGGCAGATCAGATAATTAATCATTTTTGTCAGTAAGGCTTTAGAAGGCACCGACAAATCATGCTGTTGTACCGAGAGGGACAACAAATCAGAACAGGCTCGCCATTCCAGCCCTATGGCACGGGCACAAATACTTCCATGCAGGGGAGTGACCATCGCCCACAGAGGTAAATGCCCTTCTTCGCTATAGACCTTTTTCACAGCAGCTATTTTGACCTAACACAGGTGCTACCAATGATATAATGGAGGTTCTATTCCATTGAGTGTAGCAGACAGGGATGTCATAAGAACCCATACTTCGTCAGTTGAGTTGATGGTAGTTGTTTTTCTACAGTACCGGAGGTATTGAAGGTACCAGGGATGCAATTCTTGTGGACCTACGGGGCAGCTCATACGCCCACAAATATTCTAGTTGGCCATCAAATGCCATAGGAAGATCAACATGTTAAATCTGCATTAATAAGGAAAGTACAAATAATTGATCATCAGCAGATACTCAATATTAAACAGAACATATTCACCTTGGTATTGAGAATTGTAAAATTTCATTGGTATTGATATTGACGACTAAATATCTGGTACTGTGATGTCCCTAGTATCAGAGCCTTTCCAGTGGGCCAGCATGCACAGAAGCAACATCCTGACTCTGTCTGACCTGAATCTGAACAAAATCTTAATTAGTATCATTGGTAACACCTGTGTTCACCCTACTATAACAGGTCAAAATGGCTGCTGTGGAAAAGGTCTATTGGTTGATGCTGGGACTTCGCAAGTCAAAGTTGAACTCCATGTGAAAAAATAAGTTAAGTTAATTTGTCATTAAAGTTCATTCCTCACCTTGGACACAATAGTTTAATTATAAAAAAAAAAAAATAAAAAAAAAATAAAAAACACCTCTCACCGCATTAATCAAGTTTCATACTTAGCTCTGATGTGAGTTATCTCTGTGACCACGAGATGTGGTTGAAAACTAGTCCGTGGAGCTAGAGTTACAGTTTAAAAACTCGAATGGTTCATTGTGGAAGGCAATGCCAAACATGTTTTATTGTTTAGTTTGGATGACTTTTTGCCAGCAGGGAGGGTCTAATTAGAGATGACAAGATTTTGAAATAGATTTTAACTGTCTCTTTGTGTTCCTCAACTTCAGAAAGTGAAATACTAAATCATACCACTTGAATATCTTCACCTGATAAATTAAACCAGGTCTGCCGTCGCTTCACAGATCAAATTACTGCTGAGCCAAATTGTGTTGCATGTAAACGTGCAGGGAGGGATTTTTCCAAAAGCTTTGCCAAGTTTCTTAGCAGGAAGCAGCCTCTCATGTTCCTCATATCAAGCATCAGCCTTGTTATTAGCTTCCTCCTCCCAGCTGTCATCATCACTTCATCCGACGAGGTGTCTCTCTCTCTCTCTCAATCAAAGTGTGCAGTGCACGGACGCAGGAGGACGTATTAGTGAGCACAGAACTGAAGTTTCCATCCGTGTCAATAATTATGGCAGACAATCTTTACTAAGAACTTTATTAAGTACCATATTATACAGTGATCATATACACAACAACTTCTATTACAATACCCTTTCATTATACATTCTGATAAATAAATAAGTTCTGCCTTACTATAAGGCTGTTCTGGAATATATACAGATCTTTACTGGCCACTGTTGAGATGCAAATCTGCCAACTTAAGTTAACAAAACTATTCAAGTGGAAAAATAAAATGATTTAAATATGTAAAACCATGCGGTCTCCTACTGGGATTCTCAGCCTTTGTGCCCTGCTTTTAATCCTGCATGAATCTGTCTCTGTTACGTAAAAATGCTTCTTGAAATGACTTTCAATACTTCACCAAACTGACCCAATCTGATAATATTAGCATTAGCCCCGCCTGATTCAGCATCTCATTCATTAAGGTTCATTTTCAGATTTTTCCTGCCTTTTTTTCCCCCCTTTCTTGCAGTAGGGTCATGGGTGCTGCAGAAGAAATTACTGATGTGATTTGGTAAGAAACAGAATGGACACAATCTATCTGCTTTGGTCTTCTTTGGGACATAATCCTGTTGTTTTGGTCAGTACACAGATAGTGTCTGTGTCTATCTGTTCTATCTCCTTAGGTCCTCTGGTAACACTACTCCTGTGTGAATAGGCCAGGGAGAATGAAAACAGGAGCAAAGTCTGACCCCTTTTGTGCATCGCCTCCGTTCCACTGGCATCTGTAACGCAAGACAGGGTTTCTTTCAACAGCGCCATGTCATTCTAACCGAGGATAAAATATTATTTTCTTGGTTTTTACAACATACCCCTGATAAGATACTGACATACTGTGAAAGCCTCATGGGAGCTGAAATCAATTATTTGAACTTTGTGAAAACTGTGGTGGGTATTTTTATAATACAGGTCCCAGGGTTCTATTTGAGACAACGTTTTCCTTTCCTGTACTGAGATCTGCTACGTGCTAGGCTCATCTATGTTGAAAAGACAACCACATTTTGAACATGGTTAAAAAAAAGAAGTATATATCTTATAACTCTAATGTTAGCAAAACAGTAGCTAACTAGCTACTACATCAATATTTAGCTAGCTAATTAGTTAAAGTTTTGCTAACATCAGCGATAAGCTGTAAGTAGCCAGCTAATGATTATTGATTAGCTAACCATCTAGAGTTTTGCTAACTGTAACTAACTAGCTAACAATTAATGTAGATTAGCTGGCTAGTTATCTAGAGTTTTGCTAACATTAATTAACTCCAGATGTGACTATATGTCACATTTATTTGTAACCATCTTCTTTCCAACATAGATTAGCCTAGCACATAGCATATTTATGTACAGGACAGGAGAAAGTGGACCGATGTTCTGACAGAGGCTTGCTCATCTGTTATTGGAGCACAGAGCAAAAAGTGTGTTGTGCGTATTGACCCATTCAGAGCAGCAAACACTCCTTGATCAATTACTTCTTCTACAATGTGTAAAATGTAAACATGCACCAGCTTCCGTCTTCCGCATCGTGTCCAGTATATACCGCATCATTTCATGTGAATCCTTTGTGCATGTTGGGAAAATCTGAAAGCCTGAAAACGGCAAGAACATGTTTCATCTTTTCAGATGATTTTCTCCGCCTTTGAGGTACAGATGCTACAGTCGAGCAAGGAACACAGTGTGGGGTACGAAGCCAGAATGGAGCTTCATTTTTAAAAAGTGCTCTTTTATCTGAAAGAACCTGCCAAAAGCACTAGATTTTGATGGCAAAATCTGAGAACCACTGGCCTGTTACATAATGTTGCACAGAACACAGATGTTAGTTTGTTGCTTGCAGGCCACTCTGGTAACAGTGGGGGCTGTGGCTGGCATGCAGATTCATATGACACAGTTTAGGGCTAAAATATACAGGAAAAAAAGAAGAACACAGTGTTCTGAGTGTGTGAGTGTCAGTGTCACCACCATCCACAACCTGCTGTTTGTTCCTAAAACACAGCTGTTTCCCAGCAGCACCAGCTTAACTCCAACTTCAATTCATTTAAAAACAGTCAATAGTTGTCCCTTAAGAATGTCCCTGTCACCTCCAGAGGGCACAAAGTGGCAGACTGGAATAGTTAAATGGAGGAAAACTGAAATAGACAATGGGTAAACAATGGATTGCAGCAGCTGGAGTGAGACACAAACAGTCCGCCACATCTTGAACTGAATCCCAGTGATACCAAACTGACTGCTGCCAGGGGCCAAACAGCATATAGTGCTAAATATTAAAATGCAACCAACATTAAAGCCTCTGTGCAGAAGACAGTTAGTATCGCCTCCAAGTTTTGTTCTGGCAACTGGGATCTGTGACTCAGCTTTGTGGGATTACAGATTTCTCAGGTCTTAACTTATTACTGGTACTAAAGCATGTAGTGAGGGGACATGTTCACAGCTTGAGGCTCGGCCCTTGCGGCACACCTCCCCCCTTCCCATGTTGCCCTGATGACAGCGTTCGGCAGCCCCCACTGCTCTGAACACTGGCGGTCTGTCGGCGCGTATTCCCCCTCAGCTCGCCCTCCGTACAGAGCTGTGATTCTGCGCCCTCGCCGTCGCAGCACAACAGCTACCTTCTTTTCCTCATGCTGGTCTCCAAGCGGCCCAGCTCCTCGTAGGACTGGTAGAAGACTTCCAGCTCGTGGCAGCCCCAGCCCCTCCAGACACACAGGCACCACTCCATGTTTTCCTTATGAAAGCCACATACAACTGTGTCCTTTGCCACTAGCACGGCCTCCTCCAGGATCCTGAGAGAAAAGAGAGAAGAGGGGAGGGAGTGAGGGACGCAAGAAAGAGATCGATCCGCGAAGGGGGGAAAAAGAGGGGAAGGAGCACATCTCCGTGCACTGTAATTAGCTCTTCCTAGAAGCTAGTGGGCTGTTCTAGGAAGCAGTCCCTGGAAAGCCACTGAGGATACTGAATGTACTGTTAGACGTTACTGTTTGTCTACGTGCTTGTAAAAAAAAAAAAAATCCTGCACTTCTCTGCTCTAAAAGGCACTTTCTCCTGGGAAAAAAGGTCAAATGGATCAAAGAACAATGTTTAGAAAAAATGGAACAAAGTGTCTACTTTTTTTAATTTATGAAGGCTGTGGCACAAAGCATTTTGGGAGGAAGGAGGGCTTCTGGTGACCCTGTATCCTGGGCTCAGGTAGCCATGTATCATGCAGAACAACCTGGAATTATCTTCTTCCATTGTTGTTTCATCTTTCCAAGGCGTATCATTATCCTCCCCCGATGCTGGCTCGTGTTCTGTGATACACAGCTTCGCCATTAGGAGAACAGGTGAGGCTGCGCTCTGTGAAGTCGCCATCAAGCCGACACACGAGCTAACAGACGCTTGAAATAATAGCTATAGGTAATAGCTAAGGGTTTAATACAATGTAATGCTGTGAAAACTGTCCAATCAGTAGACAGGCAGCCCCTGATCCTAAAGAAGAACACAACAGAAGCTATGTGATTTAAATGAAGCCCTACAGGCCTGGCGACCCCTCCCTTGACCTGAGCCGTGACCTCCTAACGTGTCGCCCGTGTTACAGGTGCACTGTGTAATAACTGCTTATTAAAGACCCTGTTTTGGGTGGCCCTTTTATTGCCTGTTGCTAAAAGGCCAGGCCCCTTGGTGGAAGCTCACACAGAAGTCCTTTCTGCAGAGGACCAGCTGCTGGCTCCTTTACAGAAATAATTACAGACTCAGCAGAGCACCATAAGTACATGATGAAGGATCTTGCTAAGCTTTATTGAGGCTGCATCAGTAAATGAATATATAGTTTGTTGGCTCTTCCTCTCCCACAACTGGTGAATGGTTTCAAGCAAAGCTGAAAATTGGCTCCATGCAGGTACAACGAAACCCAACTTAGAACTCACTAAGACCCTTTTATGTTAAAAAGAATGGATTCCTAGACCAATTATAATACAAAAATAGGATAAAGCCTACTGAAAGTTAAACACAGCAAATAAAAGAAGCAAATAAAAGAGGAACTAAAACAACCCAGTGGAAAAGAGAACTCACCCCAAAGAGGAACATCCAGGTGGACTGAGGACAGCGATGACACGCCCCCTCAGCTGATCGGCATGTGACTGCACTTCGATGACCATCACATCTCCTCCACGCCTGGCAAACAACGGCAACACACAC